GCGGGCCTGCACGGCACGCGCGAATGCCGTGACAAGCGGAAGCCAATCAGCGTGACTACCTCCCCCCACAGGAAGGGGAGAGCGCTAAGCAGCCTGCGAGAATCCGCCGGGAGCTCCCGGGCCTCACTCTTTTCGTGGACGAGCGAGCCGTATCGTGTAAAGGAGGTGCGAGACCGCCGTCGAGGAGCCAGGAGCCGCAAGGAAGAGAGCCAAGTACCGAGAGGACGGGACGCGAAGGAGGCAACGAGGGTGAGACGAGCGTCGTCGTGTGTAAGGCTGCCGACCGGGGTACGTCGCCGGGTGGATCGCACGTAAGCCAGCTCGCCTCGTAACGAAAGATCGGCGCAATGGCCGCCGTGTAGAGCCGCGGAACCGCGAGCCACGTGCCATTCTCCCGAGCCTTGGAGATAATTAGCTGTCGCGTATTCGATGATCAGAGTAAGGGGAATCATATTCATTGCCGAGTTGACATAAATTAGAGTCATTCGGAGAGTATCGGGGGCCGAGTCGCGCTCGTTCCTCTCGCCACGGGAGAGTCACTTCCGGTTTTCGAGTATAGTAGAGTCGCGTAGAAACGCGTGGAGTAATCACGTTGTCGAGTCTCGTTGTGTCGCGTAACGACGCTTATTGCAGTTGCGTTATCGTTTAGTATCGCGTCGCGTAGGCACGCTTGCTATAATTGCGTCGCCGAGCTAACTTCCGGTTTCCGAGTAGAGTAGAGTCGCGTAGAAAGTCGCGTGGATTGTTCACGTGTCGAGTAGAGTCGTGTCGCATCGAGGCGGTCGTTATAATTACGTCGTACCATCGCCGTGGCGTCGGCCGCGGGCCGGCGTTATACGTCCGGGAGTCTGGTGGTACAGCGGGTACGGGTTCTTGCCGGTTGTCGAGAGGCGGGCATTGACACCGTCGGAAGATACCGCGGGGAAGGTCGGGGCTCGTGCTGTAGCGTATGACCGGCGTCCGGCGCTAGAAGTAAGTTAGCGACTCTCGGTGCGAGTACCGAGTAGAGCGGCGGAGCGAAGCTCCGAAAGGAACTTGTAATTGGGTAATCCATGTAATTAATTCTATTTTATCCTATTTTCTCAAATATAATTGTTCTTATTATTACGCTCTCGCGTAGTTTATTCTTGTGGCCTATCTCTCTCGCCCTCCGACAAATTTCCTACACCTCTTGTGACCCACCCCCTGCCGTCGCGAAAACGTTACGGGCAAAAGTGAGGAGATTTCGAAAAGAGTGGCACGCTCTCTCGTGCCTGGCGCCCAACTTAGTAATAGGAATCACAATTCTGGCCGAAGAACCGCCTGGCTGTCGCAAAATTCTGCTACCGAGGGAGAGAAGATACTTTTGCGTACTTTGAGTACCGAGAACACGCGACGAAGTTGTGCCGTTGCTCGCGAGCACAGTTACAATATATAGAAAAATCACGAGAAGTGATTCATTACTCTTAATAGAGCGTTCGGGTACGCTATCGTTTTTACCACGTATTATATACTTGTGTTACATCGCGATGTCTCTCACGTTCATAGTCATCATCATCGTTTTCGTTACGTTTACTACGACGACGACAATAAGAACGACAGCGTCGACGAATCGTGAAAGCATAGATACTGAAGTAATTCTGTATCTACAAAAGTACGGCTACTTAAGTAAAGCTGACAACAATACACAATTATCATTCGAAGAGGGAGAACTTAAACAGGCTATTTCGTTGTTTCAAGAATATTATCAAATACAGGGCGATGGTACATTGAATAACTATACGTTGTATCAGATGCGTAAACCACGATGTGATCTCCCTGACATCTACGAGTACAATATAGGTAGACGTAAATGGGCGAAAACACATCTCACGTGGAATTTCCAGCTAGCGGATCCACAAACCTTGCAAACTACCGAATTCGCGTTCTCGCTATGAGCAGCTAATTCATCTTTATCGTTCGAACGTAAAACGGTAAATCCCGATATCTTGATATTATATCTTATCGTAGTGGAACACACACGTACACTGATCGTAGACGCAACGAAGAAATTTGCACCTCTTCGTTAGATGGACCTGGTGGAGTACTCGGTCACGCGTTCTATCCTCCTACCGTTAACAATTACAGCAGTGAAATACACATAGATAGTGCAGAACCGTGGCATATATATCTAACTGACAAATCTGCTAGTAGTAACAAGGGCTATCTGCTTAACACGTTAATACATGAAATTGAACACTCATTAGGATTACCACACAGTTCGCGTGAA